TATATATATTACTTATACTAATTATTATATATATATATATATGTAATATTATTATAATTATAATTATAAAATATATTATTTTAGTAAAATATATTATTACTAACAAAGAAAAAGAAAAAGAAAGAAAAAGTAAATATGATATGAAGGGTCTGATTACTTTCTTTTAAAAAAAATTAATTGTTTGTTGAATGGGCTTAGCCCATATGCTTGGCCCAAAATGTAAAGAAAAAAGGGAAATTAGATGACACTTGACCATTTCACTGAAACCCTAAAAATAGAAAAGAAGGGGATCTGAGAGGAATGGGGGAGACGCTTTGCTAGGGTTTTACACGCAGCCTTCCTCCACAAACGTCGACGACGTGGTAGATCGTTGCTATGGTGTCGGCATGGCTAAGGTGGCTAGTCAGTCGTACAAAGGAGAAGGAGAAGATGGCTAAAGAGAGAAACGAAGAAAGGTAGAGGGTTGTTGTCGCCACCGAAAATCATTTCCGACGATGGTGCACGGTGGCGTTCGTGATGGTTTGTCCGTGTTGTGACTTGTTGTAGAGACGCACAACAAGGGTGAGAGGGAGAAGATAAAGGAGGGCATCGCCACCACCAAAAATCGTCTCCGACGGCGGCGCACGGCGACCTTCATGGGAACCACGCTCCAGTCACGTTCCCCTGGTATTGTTCACACGCCCCTTTTTATTTTGTTTTCATCTCCTTTTCTATTGTGACTGGGTTTTTACTTGTTGGGTAGAAAACCCTTGGCTGAGGGTTTCATTTGATTTAAAGGGGAAAGGATTGATTTACAATGTGATTAAATATTGATTTGCATACATATTATTTTCAAAAAAGGGAAAATGATCATATACAGAACAAGATTAGATAGAATATTGATACCCAAATTTGATTGCATGTTGCCTGTACTTCTTATTCTGCTTTCACGTTCTGCTTGCTTCTTGCTTGAGCTTACTTACCCTTGATCACCGGATATTATTCTTGCTTCCTTGTTGTTTTTTTTTTTTTTTTGAAAAATCCTCTTTCTTCAAGTTATGTTACAATATCTATAGACTCACTATCGTTTAATCCTTCTTTGGCAAGTAGTTTCAAGTTCATGCTTTTGGAATCATATATGGTAGAAGCGTGATCTTAGGGATCTGTTGGTGGCTATGACAGAAGCTCAACAAGCTTGTTGGAGGAGATTTAAGTGCAACATAAAAGTGTAGGATGGTATGTGTGACACCCTTACTACCCCAACACATATAAATATTAATCATATAAATAAACTAAAGAATAAAGTTTTTAACGTTGGTAAAAGGGTTCACATAAAACCTTCATATTCATTTATCAATAACCAACATAATAATTGAAAATAAAACTTGAAAGTTTACAAATTGTTTTCAAAATCATATTTACAATTCCAAATCCATATCAAATCTATGTCCTAAAAATCCTCTGCCCCGATGTCACAATATCAGAGCATACCCACAATTCAACTGTTGGCATTCTACTCGTAGCCGGATCTTCCTCACCTAAAACATCCACAATTTATACGGTGAGAAAAGGAAATATCTATATGCAAAGTACATACCACCACATCATAATGAAATCTCATCATAATTCATATATATAAGCATGTATCATAATTTATCAATCCATCACCATCCACACCATTTTACGTTTAACAATATCATTTTCACGTCCATAATTCAAGCCAATCTTACAATTAACACTATGCCAAGACCTCGCCACATCTGACACAAGTGATACGGGTTAATTGCCTCACTCAACCCACACCATACCAGGGTTCGTATCATCCCTGATCATCTAGGAGTATGCTCGTCCCTGAAGCATCACCTACCCAGGGTTCGTATCATCTCTGATCATTTAGGAGTACGCTCGTCCCTAAAGCATCACCTACCCATGGTTCGTATCATCCCTGATCATCTAGGAGTATGCTCGTCCCGGAAGCATCACCTACCCAGGGTTCGTATCATCCCTGATCACTCAGGAGTACGCTCGTCCCTGAAGCATGAATGTGAGGAACAACAAAAACATCACAATCACAACCTTAATCATGTCCATACAACATCTCATCTCATATCACGATTTCATATCACATACACAATTTCATATCACATACTCAACAGATAAGTCTAACAAAATAAGGGTTTACACATCCTCACGCAATTCACCATGAATACTCATTATAACAATAATATAAAACTCAGTTAATTCCCCAGTTTAATACAATATTAAATCAATAGAATTATCAATTTAATATAACATTCATAAATGTAATAATAATCAATAAATTAGCAATTTAATATAATTTTAATACAAACGATAAAATCTCCAATTATTCCAAAACCCAACTCACAAGCACTTTTCTACAATTTCGTTCTCCCTCTTAGATCATCATTCTTACAAATTAAATATGTATTTCTAATCCTCAACACATACAGAATCTACTAGGATAATCAATTTCTCAAACAGAAATATTCCAATTTTCCCCAAAACCTAGCTTACAGGCACTTTTCTACAATTTCGCTCTCTCTCCCAGAGCATCATTTTTACAAATAAATCATATATTCATAATCCTAAATTCATATAGAATCACTTAAAACCAAGAATTCTCCAAACAGAAATAATTATAAAATTAGGGTTCTTCCTCTACTCAATTCCCTCATGTAACTCTACATATAAATAATTCTTTTTTTTCCCGTACCTGGATAAATAGGAACTAGGGCAGAACCTCCTCCTCTTTTCCTTAAACAGGGATCGGAACTAAAACTAGGGTAGAACCTCCTTCTCTAGATTCCTCTAGGTCTTCAGAAAGAAGGAGAGGGAAAGAAGAGAGAACAGAAGAGAAGAAAGAATGAGAATGAGAGGTGTGTGAAAAATGAGAAGTGAAGCCCCCTATTTATAGGAATCTGCCTCACTAATCCGGAACAGCCCGTTCCAAAAGTGGAACGGTCGTTCTGGACCCTCCAGAACCACGCAAAAAATCTCAACTGGAACGGCCCGTTCCAAAACCGGAACGACCCGTTCTCAATCCCAGCAGAACGGCCCGTTCTAATTCCAGAACGGCCCGTTCTCCAATCAGAACGGCACGTTCTCCAACCAGAACGACCCGTTCTCAACTACGATTTTTAGGCAAATTCTTTATTCCGGAACGGCCCGTTCTCCAAACCAGAACTGCCCGTTCTCCAACCGGAACGGCCCGTTCTCCAAACCAGAACTGCCCGTTCTCCAACCGGAACGGCCCGTTCTCCAAACCAGAACTGCCCGTTCTCCAACCGGAACGGCCCGTTCTCCAAACCAGAACTGCCCGTTCTCCAACCGGAACGGCCCGTTCTCCAAACCAGAACTGCCCGTTCTCCAACCGGAACGGCCCGTTCTCCAAACCAGAACTGCCCGTTCTCCAACCGGAACGGCCCGTTCTCCAAACCAGAACTGCCCGTTCTCCAACCGGAACGGCCCGTTCTCCAAACCAGAACTGCCCGTTCTCCAACCGGAACGGCCCGTTCTCCAAACCAGAACTGCCCGTTCTCCAACCGGAACGGCCCGTTCTCCAAACCAGAACTGCCCGTTCTCCAACCGGAACGGCCCGTTCTCCAAACCAGAACTGCCCGTTCTCCAACCGGAACGGCCCGTTCTCCAAACCAGAACTGCCCGTTCTCCAACCGGAACGGCCCGTTCTCCAAACCAGAACTGCCCGTTCTCCAACCGGAACGGCCCGTTCTCCAAACCAGAACTGCCCGTTCTCCAACCGGAACGGCCCGTTCTCCAAACCAGAACTGCCCGTTCTCCAACCGGAACGGCCCGTTCTCCAAACCAGAACTGCCCGTTCTCCAACCGGAACGGCCCGTTCTCCAAACCAGAACTGCCCGTTCTCCAACCGGAACGGCCCGTTCTCCAAACCAGAACTGCCCGTTCTCCAACCGGAACGGCCCGTTCTCCAAACCAGAACTGCCCGTTCTCCAACCGGAACGGCCCGTTCTCCAAACCAGAACTGCCCGTTCTCCAACCGGAACGGCCCGTTCTCCAAACCAGAACTGCCCGTTCTCCAACCGGAACGGCCCGTTCTCCAAACCAGAACTGCCCGTTCTCCAACCGGAACGGCCCGTTCTCCAAACCAGAACTGCCCGTTCTCCAACCGGAACGGCCCGTTCTCCAAACCAGAACTGCCCGTTCTCCAACCGGAACGGCCCGTTCTCCAAACCAGAACTGCCCGTTCTCCAACCGGAACGGCCCGTTCTCCAAACCAGAACTGCCCGTTCTCCAACCGGAACGGCCCGTTCTCCAAACCAGAACTGCCCGTTCTCCAACCGGAACGGCCCGTTCTCCAAACCAGAACTGCCCGTTCTCCAACCGGAACGGCCCGTTCTCCAAACCAGAACTGCCCGTTCTCCAACCGGAACGGCCCGTTCTCCAAACCAGAACTGCCCGTTCTCCAACCGGAACGGCCCGTTCTCCAAACCAGAACTGCCCGTTCTCCAACCGGAACGGCCCGTTCTCCAAACCAGAACTGCCCGTTCTCCAACCGGAACGGCCCGTTCTCCAAACCAGAACTGCCCGTTCTCCAACCGGAACGGCCCGTTCTCCAAACCAGAACTGCCCGTTCTCCAACCGGAACGGCCCGTTCTCCAAACCAGAACTGCCCGTTCTCCAACCGGAACGGCCCGTTCTCCAAACCAGAACTGCCCGTTCTCCAACCGGAACGGCCCGTTCTCCAAACCAGAACTGCCCGTTCTCCAACCGGAACGGCCCGTTCTCCAAACCAGAACTGCCCGTTCTCCAACCGGAACGGCCCGTTCTCCAAACCAGAACTGCCCGTTCTCCAACCGGAACGGCCCGTTCTCCAAACCAGAACTGCCCGTTCTCCAACCGGAACGGCCCGTTCTCCAAACCAGAACTGCCCGTTCTCCAACCGGAACGGCCCGTTCTCCAAACCAGAACTGCCCGTTCTCCAACCGGAACGGCCCGTTCTCCAAACCAGAACTGCCCGTTCTCCAACCGGAACGGCCCGTTCTCCAAACCAGAACTGCCCGTTCTCCAACCGGAACGGCCCGTTCTCCAAACCAGAACTGCCCGTTCTCCAACCGGAACGGCCCGTTCTCCAAACCAGAACTGCCCGTTCTCCAACCGGAACGGCCCGTTCTCCAAACCAGAACTGCCCGTTCTCCAACCGGAACGGCCCGTTCTCCAAACCAGAACTGCCCGTTCTCCAACCGGAACGGCCCGTTCTCCAAACCAGAACTGCCCGTTCTCCAACCGGAACGGCCCGTTCTCCAAACCAGAACTGCCCGTTCTCCAACCGGAACGGCCCGTTCTCCAAACCAGAACTGCCCGTTCTCCAACCGGAACGGCCCGTTCTCCAAACCAGAACTGCCCGTTCTCCAACCGGAACGGCCCGTTCTCCAAACCAGAACTGCCCGTTCTCCAACCGGAACGGCCCGTTCTCCAAACCAGAACTGCCCGTTCTCCAACCGGAACGGCCCGTTCTCCAAACCAGAACTGCCCGTTCTCCAACCGGAACGGCCCGTTCTCCAAACCAGAACTGCCCGTTCTCCAACCGGAACGGCCCGTTCTCCAAACCAGAACTGCCCGTTCTCCAACCGGAACGGCCCGTTCTCCAAACCAGAACTGCCCGTTCTCCAACCGGAACGGCCCGTTCTCCAAACCAGAACTGCCCGTTCTCCAACCGGAACGGCCCGTTCTCCAAACCAGAACTGCCCGTTCTCCAACCGGAACGGCCCGTTCTCCAAACCAGAACTGCCCGTTCTCCAACCGGAACGGCCCGTTCTCCAAACCAGAACTGCCCGTTCTCCAACCGGAACGGCCCGTTCTCCAAACCAGAACTGCCCGTTCTCCAACCGGAACGGCCCGTTCTCCAAACCAGAACTGCCCGTTCTCCAACCGGAACGGCCCGTTCTCCAAACCAGAACTGCCCGTTCTCCAACCGGAACGGCCCGTTCTCCAAACCAGAACTGCCCGTTCTCCAACCGGAACGGCCCGTTCTCCAAACCAGAACTGCCCGTTCTCCAACCGGAACGGCCCGTTCTCCAAACCAGAACTGCCCGTTCTCCAACCGGAACGGCCCGTTCTCCAAACCAGAACTGCCCGTTCTCCAACCGGAACGGCCCGTTCTCCAAACCAGAACTGCCCGTTCTCCAACCGGAACGGCCCGTTCTCCAAACCAGAACTGCCCGTTCTCCAACCGGAAC